ATAATGGCAGTCAATGGAGCCTTGCATTGGTCCAATACTGCCCCATGCTGTACTCAACTTGGTACTGCACCATAGTTTAAAATTTCAACTCAGTAGTTCAGTGTTTACAATACTAATATGATTGTATTTTGATGTTTTACTATAATATTGTCTTAATGCTGCTGTATTGTTGTAATATTATGCAGTTTAGTGTCAATAATTGTCTTGGCAAGGTAAACTCTTTCTGCATACATACAATCCAAGCCCTGGGATTGTCTTCTGCCACAGCTCCTATAGTGTCTTGGTGAACACTGTGGGCTTTCATTCAGGAGATCAGTGTTCAATCCCAGCTAATCCCAGCTATGAACAAACTGTTTCAGTAAAACTACATAATTTCAGTTTGTTATATTGTCACACAATTACCCTAATTACAAACACCTGCTGACTTGGCAGGCGTTTGACTGATAATAATTAGAAAACACCTTTGAACTTGGTCACACTTCATTCTGCAAGTGCCATGCTGCAAAGAAATGCTACATGGAAATGCACACTTGTTTTTACATCGTAAAAATCCATGTCTACTTTTTATTATTATTGACACCTACAGTTCAGGAGGAGAACTGCAGCAGTGCTGGTACAACAGCAACAAACACTAAAAAGCGTGCTTCATCCTCCTGTCGTCCTAATTAGGGCCACAAACCAGAAGGAAAATGTTAATTTTAGGTTTTATTTATTTATCGCCATCCTTTGGTAGAAGATGACCTATCATAGTCAAAGATTTTCCATTGGTAACGTTCCAATGTGTCTGCAACTCCTAAATTGGTCTCTAATCCAAGTGCCAATCAGGCATGGCTTCTGAGATCAGATGTGTTCAGGGTGGTATACATTTTGAAACTCACTAATGAGTTACTGAACAGAWGTTAAAGACATTTGCTACTGAGAGTAAAAAGTTTATGAGTCAGGTTTTATGAATGTGTGTGTTGTAAATTTTAAAACAAGATCTATTTATAGGTGTTCATTTTTAATTAGGTGATAAATATTTAGTTTTAATGGCTGACATTAAATCATTCCTTTGCTTTGTTGTACATTAAATGTTGATTCAATACATATGAATCAATCATGGTGATTATACTGAACTATGTTGTGTTTAGCAGGTAAATAATGTATTACATCTTCATTTTTTTTTTTTGCTGCTCTTGAATCTTTAATATACAATAAAGTATTAGGGCCACTCTACGGGATTTTTATTTTTATTATTAATGAAATAAAGTCAGAATTTTACCAGAAAAAATTTATAATACATGACTCGTTCGGCTCCTGGGTCGGCTCACTGAAGGACAGCCTCCAGTGTGTGTCTCTGTGTTTATGAAGTAGCCCGATTACTTTTGGGCCACTGTTAGTTTAATATGCTTTTATCCACATTATGTGACAACTATCCACCAATGCAGCCAATAATATGAATCCATATAGTCAAATGCAGAATCGTTTCAAAGTCCTGCTACAATGATTCGATGCTGATGTGTTCAAACATTAAATATTTCTTAATTTGTAAAACCGATAAAGTGTAACTTCAMAAGATGCTCAACTTTCCTTATTTTAACACGGGCGAGGCTGCTGTTCTGTGTAGGATTTCTCATAATGTTGAAGGGAATTTTGTGACTCATTAAATGAATTTAATAAAGAGTCAGTATGTTTTTATTAAGATGGCCCTGTRTTCCAGTATGATGAAGCTTTTTTGATCTTCCAATGTATGATATAAAGGGTGCCGTCCCCGGGGGTGTGACCAGGAAGTTAGGTTTATGTRCATGTGACTGTAGGTTTGCTTTTGTTATGATTCTGAGCCCCAAACGCAATGAGCTGACTGAGTCTTTTAATAGAGATTTTTAGAAGAGAATCAACTTGTTTTCTGCAAACTAATCCTGACTGCCAATTATTAATCAAAATTTTCTTATGATTATGATGTTTTTTTTTCTCATAATATTATGACTTTATTCTCATAGTTTAAAAAAATCTCATAATGTGGCCCCGATACTCTCGTATTCATGAATAACATTGATTGATTAATTGATGATGCCTTTATTGTCATTGTATGGAGCACAATGAAATTACATTTAAGAACACCCATTCAAGAGCCGAGCCGAATCAAATCTGTAATMACTTGTTTGGGAACAGAAGAAAATGTTTTGMGTCAGGCAGACAATAATAATTTTCCATCTGCCTTCATGTCCGCTGGTACATCCAATGTGGCAAATCCAATCAGACAAATAGTGTGGACAATCCTGCCAAGCCAAGCTATCAGCTTCTACAAGATCATTTCCATCTGGCCAGAAAAGTCCAGGAACCACAGCTGGCCCACAACCCTCARYAGAACCACTTGCAGACCGAGTCCAGCTCRCTCAAGGATAAAGTCTGTGTGATAAAAGAATGGCAATCCTTCATAATGGTCAGGTAGCCAGGAAATGGCCTGAATAGCCACCGACGTTTTGTAGAACACCAGGAGACCACCAAGCCAATCTGCAGAATCCAATGATCAAATCCAAATATATAACCAGAACAGAGAAGAACAGAGGTCCCACCTTTGACATGTCCTCCCGTGGAAGAAGAAAAAACTTTGTTCCAAAAAGCTATCAAGAGACCAGCTAACCAAATCCATAAAAATAAAAATATCCATAATTTCTGGTTTTTGGATGAAAATGTAGAGGAGGCTCCAAGCAGCAAAGCAGGGAAGATAAGGGAGGACAGGAGAGAGGGAAAAAGTGTCTTAATCCTCTGAGAGCAGGAACAAAAAAATAAATAAATAAAATAAAACTGGCAGTGTATATTGTAGCAGCCACAAACCAGAGATGCAAAACCAAGGAAGTATCAGTGAACAATAAGAGATGTAAATGGAGAACAGAAAAAGGGGTTCTACATAACCACTTGACATAACTTTGTAAAATAAATTGAACAAATTATGTTTTAATGCCAGCTTCTGTAGCCAAGGATCGGACCGCCAAGGTCTCTGCCCTCGACTACTTCCCAATACACATTGCACCYGACCCCTACGGCCCCTCCCACAGGTGGTGAGCCCATGGGAAGGGGGACCCACATCTTCTCGTCGGGCTGTGCCCGACCGGGCTCCATGGGTGAAAACCCGGCCACCAGGCGCTCGCCAACGTGCCGTACCTCCAGGCCTGGCTCCAGAGTGGGGCCCTGGTGACCCRCGTCTGGGCGAGGGAACACTGAATCCATTTATTGTGTTCATCATTGGGGTCTTTGGGCTGCACTTTGTCTGAACCCTAGGACCTGTTTGCCTTGGGTGCATGAAGCCCCTGACAACATAGCTCCTAGGATCATTGGGACACTCAAAGCTCTCCACCACGATAAGGAATGCTTTGGGATTCCCCCAGACRAGCTGGTCCAAGTGGCTGGGGAAAGGGAAGCCTGGGTCTCTCTGCTTAGGCTGCTGCCCTCGCGACCCGATCCCGGATAAGCGGCAGAAAATGGATGGATGGATGGATGGATGGATGGATGGATGGATGGATGGATGGATGGATGGATGGATGGATGGATGGATGGATGGATGTTTTAACGCATGTTGGTTAAGCCAATGTAGACTAAACCATTCTTGAAGTACATAAAGACCTTACTGTTTTAGCTACTAATGCTAACTAAGCTAACCACTATTAAAAGAGGATTAAAAACTATTTACAGATATCAGCTTCAAAACTAATTAGAATGTAATCTAGCTTTTTACCAGTCCTGGGACTTATTGGTCACATTTGTTATTTTGTGATTCTCCAAACKGTTTTAGCTGCTGAAGAAAACGTTACGCATCTTCTGACTCACCTTCTGACAAAATGAACTAATTGAACAAAAACTTTGTTTCCACAGGTATTTTTGCTGCTCCAGTCTCAGGCGTGTACTACTTCACCTTCTTTTACCATGCTGGAGGAGGACACCCTGTGRGTCTGTCCCTGATGAAGAACAGCCAGGTTGTCGCGACGGCCTACGACCACCAGACTTCATATGATGGAGCTGATAATGGAGGCAACGCTGCGTTCGTGCAGCTGCAGCAGGGAGACCAGGTGTACATGAGCTTGGGTGCAAACACAYACGTCTGGGGCGACAATGCAATCACCACTTTCAGTGGTTTTCTTTTGTATCAAGTCTGAGAAAGACTGGATTTATTTTTCTTTTTGATTGTTTCAAATGTTGTAACATAAAATGTGACAAACATTCTTCCATATAAARTATAAAGTATAAAGTKCTATGGAGGACCAAAACTGACATAATTAGAAATAAAAGCAGGAATATATAAAYGGACCAATAAATAAATATATCCACTTAAAATGCTTCAATTAAATTACATAAGGAGAACTTTACCCCATATTTTTCCAGCTCCAATAAATTATATATTTTAGCACATAATTTGCATTTTACTGTTTTTTATAGCAGTCTTTTCCAGGTGGGTTAGGGCTGCAAATTGTTACACATCCCTCCGAGTATGGTGTTYAAAATTCATGCTGCTAGCACCATCCTGTTCCGAGTTATGACAAAAAAAATAAAGTTTATATTTAAAAATACAAAAATATTCTTTCTGTCCATTTTGACTTAGCTGCATGTCTACCCACCTGCCWCCGGCTTATTTACACCTCACCCAAAATAGTCAATCCAACCGATCATGTCTTTACTAAACTACACCCACAAAAGTCAAACAGACCAATCATGTCTTGGACAAACTCCTCCTTCAAAACAAGAAACTCTCRTTTAGAGACTGCAGAGATCACTTTCTCAAAATTACTGTAAAATTAGTAAAACATAGCTGTTTTTGTGTCTAACTCCGACATTATGTATATCAGTAATTGTGTTAATGAAGTAATAACTATTGGAGTCGGTGAGATTTTTTTCAGCTGGATGAACACGACTGGCTTCATCAAGACCTAARGCAGCAACCTTTAAGCTCTGCAAATCTGTCAATAAGTAATAAAAACACTGTGTCATCAGTTGCTCTGTGTTTAATTTCAGCTCCTGTGTCTGAGCAGCTGAGTTCAGTAAATATGCTGATGTCTTGAAAATGAAAAAAAAAAAATCAGAACTTTTTTTTTTACATTTTTGGTTCTGTTGAAGGATTAAAAAAAATAAAAATAGAGGTTGTTCAGACCCGACACTAAAGAAAATGTTCCTCAGCAATCTGATTGCATTTAGCCAGCTGGAAATATACACTCACCGGCCACTTTATTAGGTACACCACGCTAGTAACGGGTTGGACCCACTTTTGCCTTCAGAACTGCCTCAATTCTTCGTGGCATAGATTCAACAAGGTGCTGGAAGCATTCCTCAGAGATTTTGGTCCATATTGATATGATTCTCCCGTTCCACCACATCCCAAAGATGCTCTATTGGATTGAGATCTGGTGACTGTGGAGGCCATTTG